ATAACTTTAATGGTATTGCTTCTTTGAGTTGCAAATTCGATTGATATCAGGAACTGTACATATTCGATAATTCCTCGTTCCTCGTCTTTGTCTTCGTTGCAACATAATAAGAAAATCCTGCTTCGCAGAGATAAGTGGTAGGAAAAGGAAGTAAAAACAAGAACAGCTTTTTTTAAATTTGGGATATTCTTCAATTAAGTTTCGCCAAAAATAACTTAATTCTTTTTTAAATTTTTGTTGATCATTAGCACTGGTGTTCAGAGGAACACAGTTTGGGAAACCCTGGTCTAGAACAAGTTGAAGGTGTTGTAAAACACAAGATATTTGTTCTTAATCATACATACTGGTTCCATGGTAATCCTTGACTACCAAAATATCGTCAAAACAATATATCAGAAAAGAGAGAAGAATCCAAAAGAACGACTAATATACAGGGTGTTTCACTATGAAAAATGGTTTGTATCTTCTGTATTATTTAATTAATCAATTGCTTTTTTAAATATTTCTTTGTAAGAAAATTTCCAAAAAATTTGGTCTTTACCATTTCCTCCAAGTTGGAAAGGCAAATGGGTAGAATGTTATGTGGATACCTCAGTACATACGTTTGCTGCTAATCAAAGACTACAGCATTAATGATTTTCGGTCTAAAATGACTCGAGAACAACCTCCTGAATTTATTAACGCAGACTTAGTATAAAAGGAAGGTATCTGCAACTCGATTGTCGGTGGCTGCATGTCTGCTGTTCCTCAACATGGCGACATGCACGACGGCATCCTCGTGAACGTGCCATAAATATATGCACATCTAATTAATAATAAAGTTGACGTCAACGAGTTGTGTCGCTGACTAAGCGCTCGGCATACGTACAGTCCCAGAAATCGAATCCATTAGGATGTGAATGCTACGACTTTCACTTTCGGCTCGCAGACACCTAAACTATCGCGAGAGTCTGGCAATTATAACCGTAATCGGTAGCGGTACAGTTATATAAGACCGAGTTTCTTGGCTGCTGCTTTCTACTTTTTTTTAATTTTGTTACGCTCACTGCCCGCGGAACGGTTAATGGCAGCGTCCGGAATAATAAGATTCCTGCGGAGAGAAACTCTCGCTGAATTAGCCTGGCCGAAACGCAGGACTTATGTCCGCGAGACGCTGTTTCTTTCTATAGGTGCAACACCTGTACGTTTAAAGTACCTAGAAACAGTAATCCTTAGTCCAATTCAGTTTTAAGAACAGTTTGTATACAAGAAGTAGCTAAAACATACAGGCTGTCTTACGGTAACGCCCATTAGAATATTTCAGAGATAACTTCGATTTGAATTTTGAAAATTTGGGCGCTGGAGTTTTCGCAGGTGCTCTCTTTAAATAAAATAATATCTTTGTTATGCTTGTTCATTTTAAATTAAACATTCTGTATATTTTTGCATAGTGGATTCTAACAGCAAATGATGACATATGACATATTGGTTGTTTTGTTTTTAAGTTTGCTAGCAATTTCACAGCCATCCTTGCAAGAAATTTTAATCATTCAAATCATCATTAAATCATTTTAATTACTTACTTATCACAAAAACTGTCAAAAACAGAAAAATTAAAAGAGATAGGTATAGGGAAATGTAATATGGGTAGGTAGAGAGTAAAATTCTATAACAAATTTTGATTAGATAAAAATACAGGGTATTCCATTTAGAAAAACCAAGTTTAGGCGGTTCAAAGTTAAGCAAATTCGACAATAAATGTTCACCACCCTGTGTAAAATTAAACAGTTTTTAAAGTAACTATAATAAACGATACGCATCTCCCTATCTCCCTCTCCAATATCAATACTACAACTTGCACTATGTAAAAAACGCTGGTGTAAATTATTAATATATTATTATTTACCCTCATATAACGTATTGTTCATCTCTGTTAATATCTTGCAACAAAATGAAGTCAACAGGCTTCAGATTTTACAAAATAGGGTTATGCGCATAATTATTTCATGTAATAAATACACACCTTTAGTTTATATGAGAACTCAACTGCAATGGCTTTCTATAGATCAGTTTATTGAGCAATCGTGTTTAATTCTAATTTATAAAATAGAACATAAGTTATTGCCAGAGTATTTAAATCAATTTTTAATTAAAAGGGCAGTTATTAACTTTTTTAATAGATTTGAAATATCTTGAAGACCATTACAGATAGATATAGGGAGACTTGATAAAATTCCCCCTAAAATTATGCGTAGAATCCAAATGTGCAAAAATATTCAGGGCGTTCCACATAAAATAAGCAAGTAGATATCGCCTTCCGGTATAACCGGAACTGCTACAACAGGCATTATATTATTTAAAGAGAGCACTCCCGAAATTCCCAAAGCCTAAATTTTTAAAATTGAAATCGAAGTGGTCTCTGAAATATTCTAATTGGCTATCACCGTAAGACAGCATGCAGACAAGGTGCAGCTAAAACACAAATTAACAAAAGTTTCTATAAACACGTGTTCGGAAATGCTTAGTTTTCAAGATTAATCATTTTATTATCTACAAGAAAACTGAAGTCATTTCATTTGGTTTTATTTTTTGATTATAGGCAAACATTGTACAGGGTGAGTCAATTTCGACATCATTTAATGGAAATGTCTTGTAATTGCAAAACTTTAAATCTCGGTTGTGTTACATAACGCTTCCGATAAAGTCAATGTATTAAATTCTGCCCATGACCCCTGCTGTTTTATAAATCAAGCCTTAAAAAATCGCAGATTTGATTTTTGAGAAAAATTGATGCAAAAGCAGTATCTCAATATCTTGATTCGTTTAGAAGATAGAAGGCGCTTTTCATTTAGATATTGGTCGTTTTTTTTTGTAAACACGAATAATTTTGGTTTGTGTAAAGAATTTTTCTGTGCAGTTTTTTAAGTCAGCAGCGTACACATATTTTTCTACAATTTCTTGTTTTGCGGTTATAAACTTATAAATATGTATATTTCCTTATCGATATCGCAAAAAATGTTTTTTATGAAACAGTTGACAGAAAAAAAAAATTATTTATAACTTGAAATCACATCTTTTTTATCTCTAAAATATATATGATTGTTCCATTTAAAAAATATATAAACTTAGATCATAACTGAATTGCACACGCACTGGATTCTACGAAAGAAAAATTATGAAAAGCTTACGTAAGTGCTTAAATGTTTTTCGCAGGAAAAAAGTTATAAGAAAAACGACCAAAATCAAAGTACGCTCTGTACTTTTCAAAAGAATCAATGCATCGATATTTTGAGCATCTTTTTATCTTCTAAGAAAATTCGGAAAACACCTTAAAAGTACCCAAATTGGCCCAAGATATTCCAAATTGGATTCACCTTTACAAGAAAACGCTAAAAGCTACAAAAATCTGTTCTTATCGTGTATAATACCTAAGTGTCGTGTCATCCAATTATTTTTAAAATAATGGTATGAATAATTTAAGTAGGTAATCATGTTAACCAAATGTTTTTGTGATACGTTAATTTTGTACTATATATCGAAAACGAATCGTTGAATTTGTCAAGCACTTATTTATACCCTGTATAAAACAAAAAAGTCGGTAAAGCTAAATTATAACGGTTCTCCTGCTTTTATATAATTTATGTGACAATCATCTATAAGAGGCAATGGATCTTAAATTTATGTAATTAGACTAATCACACAGAAAACAATTCTAAAAATTAAATTTTCTAGTGAATTAAATTGTTTAAAATGAGAAGACATGTGCATCTACATATCATTTTTTTGGGTTAAATTTATAACACCCAAACATTATCTCTGCTACTGTCTAATTTAATAAATAGCCAATCTTCTAAGAAAATGACATAAAGAGCGATAATTTTTAGAAAATTTTATAGATTTATATCATAAAACCAATATTTTTAATTTTTTCATTTTCTTTTTATTTTCGTTCTGCAATCCAATTAAATAAATAAACAATAAACAAATCACAGAAATAATATTTCCTTAAATGCAGTTCCTAGCATAATATGGAAATAAATTTTCGTATATTTTATTTCTGTGTTGAAAGTAGTTCTTATGGATACATTAAACAGACTATGCAAATATTTCACTTCAAATCTAGCCCAGAAAATAACAACAAGAAACTTGTGGTGAAGGCTTTCTACATTGTTTTGGAGCTTAAAACATTCCTCAGTTGGGAATGATTAAGTTTTTGTATCATTATTTGTATTATATTCGAATTCAAAACTTTTAAATGAAATAAGACATGAATTTTAGTCTTGTTATGCGGAGGCAGTCTTTTTTAGAAGGATACTTAGCAATTTATTCACAAAATTTCCAGTAAAAATATCAAAAGTGAACCATTAGGACAACTAAAATGAATGAATGAAAAAAATATTTCATAGGCAGGCTAGTCATTAATAAATTATCTGGATTAAAAATAATCTGTCCAAATAGTACACTGATCAGAAAAACGTACATTGGACAAAAATCAACACAAAACTCGGCCACAATGACATAGTAAAAGCATTTCTATATTACAGGATAAAATTATATTACAAAATATCAACAGTTCTGATAATATCTGGTGAAATATGTTATAATCCCAAAAAATTAGATATGTAAATGCAGATGTCTTTTGTTTCAAATTCAAGTGAATTATTTGTGATTATATAAAGATATTCTTTATATCACTGAATATTTTCATCTGCTACAAACATTAAACAAATAAACCCCACGCCAGAAACATCTGCCTCTAAATGTGTTTTCATAAACTCGTTTCATTCAAACTGTTAAGTGATGTGTGGTCCGAGAAGTGCAAGAATATTGCATCAAAAGTTGTCTATTTTTTCTAGGGGTACCCTAAATACTTAATAGATTTTCAGAAATTCCTTATTTTCCAATTTAAGTAAATTATTTTTGTCTTAAATGAATAGAAAAATTATTCTATCTACTCATGTATACGAACATAGTTTGTACGAAAATTAATATTTAAAATTACACATTGTTCTTTGTTGCAGGTGGAATCGAACTTGTGTACGTTGCAGAGTTGTTTAACATCGATGATGGGTCGGGAAATAACAATCGAGCAACTCCGGCAAGACGTAGGATTAATGATAGAGAAAATTACCCATGTTACCTTAATGTTTAGGCAGATAAAATTAACAATGGAAGAATACGTGTGCCTTAAAGTGATCACAATGCTAAACCAAGGTAGGCATTTAGCTGTAGATGTATGTAAATTAAACACGTTATTTCTAAGCAAGTATATAATATATTACGTATGTAGTATTCATGTTTTAAAATGGGCTAAATTCGACACTCCCAAAAAATCAATCCATTGTAAAGTCTCCATTTTCTTGAGATGTCGAATAACGAAATCCACATTTCGATTTTTTATTCGTTTAATGGATATATGACAATTTTCAGTTTTGATAGTATTATCTCATGCCCTTAATTATTTAGTTTATGAAAAATTTTTATTTGTCTATAACTTGTGGTTTTCAATTATAACAATTTTTTTAATAGACGCCTTATATATCTTTCAATTTTAGAAGTCTGCGTGAAATTTCTTATAAAATGAAGTGTCATGCCATATCACAATATTTATGCAACTCAATTCTCAATCTTTTTTTATACAAAAAAAAACTATAGAGCATCTGAAAAAACTGCTAAGATGGCGTTTTTTTTTTCAAGAAATAGGGTAAATCTGTGAAAAATATCGAATCTAGTAGATAATCATCCAATTGGTACGAGTGTACGCCAGGAAATATAGAATTGGACGCGACTTTTTGTTTCGGCAAGCTGAATTTATCACTATAGATGCTAAATATTATGTACAATAACATAGTCTCCACAGTCATAAAAATTGAGGGAAGATTGTTTACAGGCTGGTTAATTGTATAATTTTTATGTAAATTCACGGTTTTCGCTTATAACTTTTTTCTGTTCATTCCCACTAGAAAACAGTTACGTACTGTTTTTTCGTCTTCAAAAGATCTACAAAACTAACCATCGAACGTCAAAAAATATTGCTTAGATCAAAAGTTATAAACAGAAGAAGTATGACTTTTGAATTAAACATTTATAAACTGCGTTATTATTACCAGAACGATTTGGCATCCCATCCTCTCATTCATTATCACTGTCTAATAACTCACACGAAATCTGGAATCGGAAAGTTGAATAGTTTACATGTTATGGCCTTATAAACATATTAACTAATTATTAGTCTGGACGATCCCCAGCATCTTCCACAATCGCACTGATTTTTTTCATGGTAGACTTCATAATAATACATTGAAATCTTAAAAAAAATCGTCGTCAAGATTCGTTGAAAAACAACGGAGTTACAGACTGTCAAATATATTATTTTCAAGCGAATTTCGCTTTTTTAACTATATAAGGACTATAAATATTATCGTCATTTTCTTCGGACTCGCTGTTGTTCGCTTCCCCCACCCACCCGCCGCGCCAAGGCTCGCCGAAAAATCAAGCGACCTACTGACTTTTGACAATATTTCTTATGCACTTAACATACTTCCACAAATAAAATATTTTAATTTGGGAAAGTACTCGGGTTGTCGGTTATGACAGTATTTTTTTGCCGCTAATTTGTTTAATAGCAGGCAGTCAACTTTAACTGTAACTCTGTTGTTGTTCAATGAATCTTGACGATTTTTTTTTAACTTAAAACTCTTTTCATAAACTTTCCAAATATGTAGTAATATATAACTATATCACGCGCGTGCGTCGTATATTTCATTTTACAAGGTTGCTGTGAAATTTAAAAAAAAAATGATAGATTTCAATGTATTATTATGAAATATACCATGAAATAAATCAGTGCGATTGTGGAAGATGCTCGGGATCGTCCAGACTAATAATTTGTTTATAATATATAATTTATTTATAATACTTGTAAACTATTGAACTTACCGATTCCAGATTTCGTGTGAGTTAATAGACAATGATAAGAAATGAGAGGATGTCTAGCCAAAACGTTCTGCTAATAATAACGCAGTTTATTTATAAATGTTTAATTCAAGTCATAAATAAACTTCTTCTGTTTATAACTTTTGATCTAATCAATATTTTTTGACGCTCGAGGGCTAGTTTTGTAGGTCTTTTGAAGACGAAAAAAGTACTTTATTGTTTTCTCGTGGAAATGAACGGAAAAAAGTTATAGGCGAAAACGTAAACAATCTTCCCCCCATTTTTGTGACTGTGGAAACTAATATGTTATTGTACATAATATTTAGCATCTATAGTGATAAATTCAGCTTGCCGAAACAAAAAGTCGCGAATTGGTCATTTCTTTTTCCTGGCGTAAGTTCATGATTTCATTGTCTTACAGTAAAATCGTTGTCTGTATACGTTTTATAAACAAATTTTGAGTGTATACCAATTTATATTTTGAAAACGATTGGCTAAAAATGATAAAATAGCAAAGTAAATTTGCATATTATAAAGTTAACATTGTTGATAGCCACTTTCAATTTTTACTGTGTATCCACGTTGATTTTGGATTTGGCGAATGCGCCAGTGCTCAGACATAGCATATATTTGAAAGGATAATTGATTCCAACCTTTTATATATTAATTCTTTTATGTTAAAATTTTTTCACTCAATAAACTTTTCCTTCACTTTCAAACTCCAAGCGCACTAAAATATTTTTAAACGAAATAAAAAATGCATTAAAAATTCTTCAAGTAAAAAACAACATATGTATGTAGGTACCCATATAAATGCCGGGAATGTCTCACAAACTTAGTAGGTTTATCTAGCTTTTGTATTTCACATGGTCAATATTTTGTTTTTGGTTACCATTTGAAAATGATAAATCAATAGACCTTGTTTTCCTTAAAATTAAATAAATTTTCTAAATAATTTGGCAACACTACAATTGTTTAGTTAGTATAAAAAACAATTTTGCTTGATTCTTCGTTTAATTATAGCTTGATTCGTTTAATTACGTCGAATACCTATTACACCAACTGACATTTTGACAATTCAGTTAATTTTTCATTGATTTCAGTTCATTTTTAATTGAAGTTTAGAAGCGAGACAAATTAGTTAATAAGTTCTAAACATCTACTGTGATGTCAATACAATTTAACTGAACCATCAAAATTTCTTTTGAGGTGAATGAACTCTTTAAAAAAGTGGAAAGTTTAGTTTTTCGATAATAACACAAAGTAAACCACAGCATAACTAACATTATCCTAATCCCAATATAAACATCCAATATGGTGCCCATTAGGAAACCAAAATTTGATTCTCAGTCCTTCAATAGATGATATAGCTTATACGACGACTTATTTTAAGTCTATTAAAAAGTGTCCTTATAATGTTTGAGTTTAAAAAATAAAAACGAAAGTTAAAATTTTCAGTTTTTCACTAATACACAGCCACACACAAAACAAAAAGTTGGGTATACTTTTTATGCGACATATATTTTTCGTAGTAATTTGGCCTCCTGAACACGAATCTGGGGTCCGAATTGGCCCATCACGTCACAATTTTTTCCTAACCTCAAAAAACTTGTGAAAAATAGTGAAAATTGATGAAAATTTACTGGGAAAATTTGGAAAAAAATTTATTTCCACATCAAATAGTACATTTTTATGTAAAAGACTCTGCTGAATTCAAATCCACTGTCAGAATTGAGCTAGAACGTGTGGTTTTTTTTCTAACCTCAAAAAACCGAGCAGGAATCGCTATTTTCAAATTCTGAGCGGATTTTGACCAGATTTTGTATAAAGGGGTTTTTTGGGTCGCTGATTACGAATATGAATTCACATTGTAAAAATTCAAGATGGCTGATCCAATATGGCGGGTGTACTTTTTTGAAATCCACCGATTTCAGTAAAATTTGGCATCATAAGGATTGCTGGTTGATCTCACCTTCATTAATCACACATCTGGAGCCAGATTTTCATAAATCAAGGTAAAAGATTCCACTCCGTCTAAAAATGTGACTTCGCTTAAAAAAATGACTTAAGGACTCTACACATGTAATGATGTGTAGTGTGATGTGCTTGTTTCCATGGGACAAGACAAAAAAGTTTCTACTTTATTCTTTCATTTATTTAGTCGTGCATGGGCTTATGGTTTTCCAATCAGATTTTTTTAACTACTATGCAGTTTTCCTATGGCATTTAGATGCTTTTATTTCTTAATAATTTTAAAGTTCAAGGAAAAGGACACATTACTGCCACACAGCACATCACTGCATCTGCTTATGCCTTCAATCTAAAAATGTGACTTTGCCGAAAAAATGCCGCCTACTCGGCCTAAAATTATGACTCTGCCTACAAATTTTACCTTGATTTATGAAAATCTGGCTCCAGATGTGTGATTAATGAAGGTGAGATCAACCAGCAATCCTTATGATGCCAAATTTTACTGAAATCGGTGGATTTCAAAAAAGTACACCCGCCATATTGGATCAGCCATCTTGAATTTTTACAATGTGAATTCATATTCGTAATCAGCGACCCAAAAAACCCCTTTATACAAAATCTGGTCAAAATCCGCTCAGAATTTGAAAATAGCGATTCCTGCTCGGTTTTTTGAGGTTAGAAAAAAAACCACACGTTCTAGCTCAATTCTGACAGTGGATTTGAATTCAGCAGAGTCTTTTACATAAAAATGTACTATTTGATGTGGAAATAATTTTTTTTCCAAATTTTCCCAGTCAATTTTCATCAATTTTCACTATTTTTCACAAGTTTTTTGAGGTTAGGAAAAAATTGTGACGTGATGGGCCAATTCTGACCCCAGATTTCGTGTTCAGGAGGCCAAATTACTACGAAAAATATATGTCGCATAAAAAGTATACCCAACTTTTTTTTTTGTGTGAGGCTGTGTAATTTTTCAAACAAATAAATTTTCTCTTTACTATGCTATATGTCTTCAAATTTCGCAGCATTACGCTAATTTGGCTGACGTTATATTTCTTAAGATAACCGAAATCCCCATCTGGCAGCTCCAAAAACTGGGCTCTATTCGATATTGTTCCTATATTATATAAATAGCCACAGAGTCCTTGTAGGATTATAGCTTTTCACAGGTCCTACATTTCAAGACATCTCCAGACACTCTTGGAAGGAACATAAAGCAAACAAAAGTTTCTTCAGGAAAACATGGCAGTTTTTTTAAAAAACTCTCTTGTTTTTTCAGCGAAACCTGCCAGTAGTTCAGGAAATAGTGAATTGGAAACAATATACGAGAGATACATGACGTGCCTACGTGTCTACACACAACACATGTATCCTCAGCAAACTACAAGATTCCAAGACTTACTAGTTAGGTTACCAGAGGTAAGTCCATTTGCCCCGGTAATTATGTGGAAAAATATTACCTCATAGTGCCTCAGAGGAGGAGCTTGTTCAAGTTTTCAGAGAATAAAATGTCAGTAAATTATTTTTAATATTTTTTTTCAATATGTTTTTATTGTGTAGACAGCTACTGTTGTATTTTCAGTAGTTTCAGCAGTATTGTATTGAACACAATGTTTCTATTTTTAATTAAATCCGATATAGAACATCTCTTGTTGAAATTATGTTGTTAAATTAATCAGATTAAGAATTTGCAGTAAAATTTTGAACTTGACTTAAAATCTGTGGTGTTAAGTTCAGTTCCAAAATATAAAAATTTTAACACCATGACTTGCATTAAAAGAAGTTGAGGTATTTTTCCACATAATTACTAATTTTATTTTTTTTAATAAAAGGTTATCATTACTGATAGCCGTCAGTAACGCAAATTTTCAAACAAATATTTTTTTAAAAAAACACTTGTTTGTCAAACTTGCAATATTTAGAAATTAAGGAAATCGAATATTTAAAAATTCGATTGTTATGAAATGTCAAATATATTTTAGAAATAATGAATTTCCATTGGTTTACCACTTAATAAAGTAATAATAGTAATAATAATAATAATAATAATAATAATAATAATAATAATAATAGCAATACAGGATGTTACATATTCGCTTCTCACTACAGGGATCTCGGAAACGATAAGAGCTACGAAGTAGCTTAAATGGGGGCAAAGTTGCGTAATCAGGAGACCAACAATATGCCTCTAAAAAATCAAGGCTAACATGATTAAATATTTGAAAAAAAAACGAAATTTTGGAAATTCGTTTCTGTTTCATTTCAGCCTTGTTTGAGGTAATATTGAAAAAAGAAGAAACTTTCTCACGGCCACTTTTTGCTCTCTATCGAATGGCATAATCAATTTTTATATGTAACGTTTCGTCTCTCCAGGACCATCATCAACTTCATTTTTTTAAATACGACCCTGGAAATTTTATTACATTTTTTGCAAGCCTTCACGACCCCCAATACTGTACTGCCTCAGCCCTAACCAGATTCAGACGTTTTGTTTGGAAAAATTCATCTTCAGTGTATTCGTTCCAAATTTATCTAAAATTTTTATTTAGATTTTTTTGTTTATTGAATTATCGTACATTGTAAGTTTCGTTAGACCCTGTGAAATCCATCTAGTTAGTTAAACTGCGAAAATAAACGGAAGCGAATTTGTAACAGCCTGTATATTTTGGAAAGGTAAAGTAGTATAGTAAAATTAAATTAAATTAAATGTAAGCATAAAATAAAATTATAAAAATGAGATAGGTAGAAACACTAAATATACACAAACGATTATTATTATTGAATTAAAAAATAAATAAATAAAAAAAATAAAATTTTTACAAAAAAAAATATATTTTCATGTCCTTATATCGAAATATAAATACCTAAGTTTGCTTGTCAAGATATTCAAATTCTGTAATATAACATTTTTTTTTAATCTCCAGAGATAAAATGCGTCTGATAGTTTTATATATAAATTTTAAATTAAATTCAAATTTTTCTTCTAAAAAATAATAAAATCAAAATAAGGCATTTAAACTGTAAGAGAATGCTCATCTTTCTTAAAAATTTGGCGTACCTATATAAAATTGCATGAAACGTAATAATATCCCGAAAGGTCAAAATACTTTTCATATTCTTGTAATTTCTTGAAACTCAAATTCAAATTAAAAAAGTATCTAAAGATTGTAATATTTATTGTAATATTAACATAAAACTTGTGTTCTTAAAAACCTTGTAAAATATATGACACTTTAAAAAAATGTTCCCAAAGATTCTGGCTTACATAAAATTTTCTAATAGCCCTAAAAAAAAAAGAGCAAAACATATTTATAGTATGTACAGGATGTTAATTAAGTATGTACAATAAATTCAACAGGCGATTATTTGAGCGATTTTAAGACAAAAAGTTCATATAAACATTGGTCCGCAGATGCTTCTTTTTCAAGATACAGGGTGTTAAACTTTTGTAAAAAAATTGCTATTTCGTAAATATCTTAAATACCCTTTACCCAATGTTGTTGTAATTTGACAGTGGCAGCGCATTACAGTAGCATTTCAAGAAATTACGCCAAACATGCTCACCAATGTTGAACAGTCTATTAAAAACCGAATTCGTTTGTGTACAAAATAAGGTTTATAAGAAGTTTCAACTCAAAGGGGATTTTTTATATATTATGTTGCAAATCAAATTAAAATTCTAAACAGAATGTTGAAAGAAAATTCTTCTTCATCATTTTATAAATGCTAACTCAAAGATTGAAATACATAACATTTTAAATTCTGACAAAATCTGTTATAAAATTCTTTTTCTCGGAAATTCAAATCGCGCAAAATTATATAATACTTTTAGAAAATTCTGATAATATCCGCAAATATAAACATGCATTTGATATGTTCACATTCTAAGAAAAAACTAATATAATTCATACAAAACTCAGTTTATATTACGTATTTTGTGTATCTTTGGAAATATACACCTTTTTTAGAAAAGATATATCTAGATATATCTCAGAAATGGTCGATTCAATTTTAGAAAACGTGATTTTAATTTCATCTTAGTAAATATAATATCATAAGGTGTTATTTGTATTTCAAAATATGTTAGAAAATTAAATTTCAGAATTCGTCAATTTCAATTTTATTTCATAATTTTCAGAAAAGATCACTTGTATTTTATGTTTGTATTATATGTTTGTCGTTTGTTCAGTGTCTGTTGTGTCTGTGTGTTTATTTTGTTTAAATTTTTTTTGTAATATTTTGGACGAATTCTGAGATATAAATAACATACTGAAATATTATTTAAATGTTTAAAATAAAATTGGCTAGTTTGATATGTGTACAATTGGCGCTCTTTGAAATAAAACTAACTGAAATACAATTGATGGTTTCTGAAATGTTGCTTTAAAAAGTATAATTTTTAATTATAGGAAAATGGTTCAATATGTTTTTACAAAAGTAAAACAATATGAGTTTCATTTAGGTATAGTTGTATTTGTTACAACACTGCATTTAGAAATTACTTTTTTTACATAAATATGCCCACTCTTATTAGCTTATCCGCTTATTTAATTTTATTTGTTGAAATTCTAAATGGTATTTAATTTACAACCATGTTATACCAAAGCGCGACTCCAGCACAATGTAATATTTCTAACCCCCATTTTAAATTCATAATATCCCCTATTCGACGGAAATACTCATTCTCTAGCCATAGCCAAGGCCGTACTAATTTTCACGTAAACATTACAATTGCGGCATCGAAGCGGCGTTGTCGTGCCCCGCCAGCGAATGCGACTCTCGAACAATTTTCCCGTTCTGGAACGCATCGAACGTTGAAGGAAAATGCCGCAAGTGCAACAACCTGAGTGTACTGTTCTGCGTCTATTCCATTTAATATATGTAGGTCAGTCGGCCGAGGTAGTTTGAATCAATTTCAACAAACACTAAATCAGGACGTCCTTTGAACTCTGTGAATTGCATTACGCCGGCCTTTTCATACGTTGCCCGGGTTTTTCTCGAACTGAGGGTAATAAAAATACAGTAAACATGGATATACTGCGTGTCTTATGATGACCGCATATTAGGTTATGTCAGAGACTACTGGGACTTAAGTCACAAAATTTGGATACAAGCTTTTGGCCGTGCTTTCTTTTTAAATAAAATAATGGCATATTGCCTCGCTTTCATTACTTTGCAAATTGATTCCAACTTTTTTTATTTTAAACAAATAAATTTTTATTGTTTTCCTTAATTCTGTTCTTTAACTATTCAAGCGAATTAATTCGTCTGGAGCAGTTTGAGCCCTATAAATTTTTAACGAATATATACGTCTGGAGCAGTGAAAGGGTTAAGGCAAAAATTTTACTAGGTACAGGTTATCAATTATAGCAAAAGATCTCACTTTACCCCGCGTGCCGATGCGCAGTGGCGTCATGTACCTGCTGAGAGTCATTTGTATATTGCCTTTGCGGGTGAACATATCGGATACCTACATTTTAACTACATGGATGCAATAAAATATGCAAAAATAAAAGGGTTGTGAGAAATTGTACCCTTTCTTATTTCTAAAATAAGTTACAATGCAAAAATACAATTGCTGATGGTAATTTGATGTTTATTTAGAATTCACTAATTATCTTCAATCAAGAAGATATTTCAAAATGCATTAGCCCACTATTATTTTTCAATAGTAGGTTTAAACTTATTAGAGATTCTACAAGCAGTACAATTCAGTCCAAACCAGTCTCGTGTTGGGAATTTAATTTCGGTAAAATCCAAATGGAAATGTCATCCTTTTATTTCTGTATATGTTCCCTTTTTAATTTGACATTTAGGTTTTTTCCTATATTTGATGACTTATACTTGAGTTTGAAATGAAACTTAAAAATACAAATAAGATACAAATCATAGATAATGTTGTCAATAACAAAATCTATAGCAATTTTTAGTTAAAAGTTACAACAAAATACATGAATTTTTTGTGGTAATGTCAAATTTGACAGACGAATGATATTATTTTATAAATAATTTCCTATTATTTGATAATATCTAAATCAAATAAGTTTACAATAATTCATTATCCTTTGTATGTTGGGCGAAATTCTCAAGAGAGTTGTCAAAAGTGGTCAGTTCACCATAAAGGTACCCGAATTACATTTATCGATTAAATTACCTGCAATGCTGCGTATCCTCAGCTTCCTAGACTATAAACAAAACCCAAATCAGCCATACAAATTTGAATTTTGGATCTCATTTCGCATGTTCGCCAACTGATCTTACCACCGAAATGATTATAACCGGTGTTAAGGGCCCCATATTCTTTAAATAGTGTTTTCCGCAAAGACAAATAATTTCAAACATTTAATAACTGAATAATCTAAAGCTTATCAAATAATAGGAATGTTATGTCATGCCATCTGGTTATTTTCAAAGACGCC